AGCCATTTTTTTCTCTGAATATATTTGTTTTTGTGTTTCAAAAACACTTTTAAAAAAATAATTTTTTTTATGTTTTTCTTTGTTTTAAATTATTTTTTTAGTATTTTTAGATTATTTTGATATGATAATATCAAAAATAATTTTTAAAAAATAAAAAATATATTATTTTAATTAATTTTCGAGTAAAAAACACTTTAAAAAACAATTATTATCATACTCTCAAACACCTATAATTTATCCATCCAAATATATAATGTCCATCCGAATTCATTAGTAAACTATTAACCAAGTTTTTTTTTTTTAGTTTAACGTGGATGTCCGAACTAGTTTACGTGTATCTCAACTAATCCAATCCCATAAATTCTAAAATTGACAACTATACAAGTTTTCAGTGATTATTACATTAGCAACTACAAGATTTGAATTCAAGACTATAAATAAATTAAACTTGTTGATTTCGAGTTTTTACTATTGTGTCATCACTAAAAGGTTATTAACCAAGTTTATTAATTGCATGACAATGATGTGTTGTTTGATCTTATTTTACTCCCCTTTCCCTAACATATCCAAAAACATGAAATAAAATAGGAAAAAGTTAAAAAAAAAAACCAGCCGGTTGGAATTTTTCAAATTTAAACTATTGTATCAAGTTTTATATTAACATGGAAAGTTTCTGACGGTGAAGATATTAGTTTTGTAGTGCCAAGCCATAGCAAGAGCTTAGACGATGAAATAGTACTTCAACGACACCTCCATTGTCAAACACAGCATCTTTTAATTTAAAGTTTACTTATGTTTTAGCTAATTTGGAAGGAAATGCACATGATTCTTGTATGTTAAGTGATGCTTTGCCTATGCTCTAAAGAATAAAAAGGCCTGAAGGTATCAAATAATTTCAAAGTATTACAAATATGTGTACTAAATTACAGGACTATATTGAATTTTTAAAAATTTTATCGGGCACACCGGCAGAATAATTTCAACCATCTTTTATATAAAACCTTATTTGGAATATGGTTATAATTATTTTTTTAAATATTTTTTTTATATTAAAATATATCTTAATAATTTTTTTATTTTTTAAAATTATTTTTAATATTATTACATCAAAATAATTTAAAAACATTAAAAATATATTAACTTAAAATAAATAAAAAAACTTAATTTTTTTAAAATATAAAAACACAAAAAACAAATGCATCAATAAAGAGAGGAATTTAAAAAAATAAAAAATCACAGATTAGTTAGTTAATAGAAACATGCACCGTACAAGCATAATTATCAATTCAATTCAATTCAAAGCCTGAGCATCGAAAAATTATTTTATAACAGGCTCCACCTTGATTCTCTTCTAAGTTCTAACAGGTCCCATCTCTTCAAGATGCAATCGTAAACTCTACTGCATTAACATGTGTTTGTTTCTGTTGCGTTGATTTTTATGCATTGGAATCATTAAAAACAAATAGAGAAAATAAAATAAAAATTAATTTTTATGACTGAGTATAATTAGATTATATCTAACTTTAACTTTAATTATAATCCAAAAAACAAATATATTTTATAATATAATATTGAATTTTACTTCAATCTTAACCACAAAAACAAATATATTTTCTAATATAAGATCGATCTTTGCCTTTTGGTTTGATTACTTTCTTGTTGCATCAAATAGGAGAAACCTTTTATTGATAAGGTGGATCTTTTATTAATATAAATAAAGTGGTTCTGTTTATTTTATATTTTAAAAATGTTTTTAAAAATTATTTTTTTTATTTTTTTCATATTAATATTTTTTAATATTTTTAATTTATTTTAATCTATTAATATTAATAATATTTTTTAAATTTTAAAAAATATATTATTTCAATATAATTTCTTATACAAGCATAAGCAAACATGCGGTAGATACCCAGCAAAAGTGAGCAAGTAAAACATGCGCAAGGCAACAATTATCATAAGTCACGGAAGTAGGACTTCAGCAATAAGGATTTTCTACACTTCTTGTGATCACACTTTTCAAGTCTAATAAGTTCAACTTAGTTTTTTTACTTTTTCATTTTCTTAATTTGATCCCATCAATTAATTTTTCTAATGCGGTCCTCCTATTTGTCATTTGTCACTTAATTAAGTACTTCTGATATCCTCCAATTTAGATGTTAAATGTTTAGCGAGCTTGATAGGTAGGATCCCCTACTCATTTTTTTCTTTTCTGTAATATAGGATTAGATTATTCTTAGCCGTGTATCTTAGCTACAATTCACTCATAAAATTAGGATACATCTACATCAATTCATCAGCAAAATTACAACATTCATATTTATCATGATTTTATAATTGAGTTATATTGTAAATATAAAATTCAAGATAATTTAATTCTAGATTAGACGAGAGAAACAGAGTAATGTATTCCACCAGCATGCTAGACCATCTCGGCATTTAATGTCTGGGATTTGAATGAATGTGCTTATTTAATTAATGTAAGGATACGTAGGAGGGGTATCTTAAGAAGATTAATTGATAATGGAGCATATTAAGAAAATTATCAAAGTAAAGGTGCTTCTAATTTTATTTGTCTATTGGTCAATCATTTTATTAGAACAGGGGAGGTCTCCCCTCCCCCAAAAAAACACAAAAAGCGAAGGAGGATCATTCCACCAACAAAAAGCGAAGGAGGATCATCCCACCAACAAAAAGCAACAAAAAGCGAAGGTTTTGTCCGTCGTGGTGACAAGAGGCCGAGGCAAGAGGTGAAGTCATGCAGCCGCGTCATTTTGCTAACATAACAGGACCACCACGGTCTGTGCAGTCGCGCAGCTCCTATAAATTAAAACACATCTATCCAAGGGAAAGATCGCAAGTAACAGAAGTTTGAAGCCATTCTTGGAAGAGGATACGTAATATCTTCTTTTTGCTTGGCCTAAAATGACAACCTTCTCTAAGATCCTTGGCAAGACAGACACTAGCAAAACACTGTCAGTGCCTACGAATTATCTCAAGTCTCTCCCATCTTTCAAAGGTGGACATGCCGTGGAATTTCAAGCAATAGATGAGAGTGGCTTCGTCTGGACCTTTCAGTGTTCTATTCGCAAGAAAGGACAGTACCCGAAGCCAGTTCTTTCAAAGGGCTGGCGTGCATTCGTCCGCAACAAGAAGCTTAAAGTTGGCGACAAGATCAAATTTTCCTTGAACCAAACCGCTGCTGCAACACCCTTTTACAGGGTTCAAGCACAAAAGGAAGTTAAGATATTTGGTGCTATCTTTGGCTATTCACCCATCATAGCCACATTTCCATGAATGAAATATATATATATTAATTAGTATATATTATTATATGGGCAAGAAGAAGCAATTAGCTGGGTCTCTATCTCATGGAAGGCTGCAGTGCTATAATATATAGTTGAATTTGCTTATGTTATATATATATGCACCATAAGTGATGATATTTATGTATTTGCCAGAGCTAGAAGCCTGTCAGAGAAGCTTAAGCACTGTAAGATGGCTTGATTCACTTCAAGACTTCTCAAGCAGGGTCAGCCGTTGGAATGTAAATTGTGCAAGCCTGGTGGTGTGCTTGCTACAGTGTCTTCTAGGCATCGTGGCTTCTGTATTTTCATCTTTAATGAAATAAATCTTGCCCTTTTACTCGGTTTGTAAATGGAACTTTTCATTTATGTGATTTCACTGTGCACAAATCTCTTGATATTTACTTCATAAAGCTCCAGTAGCAACGAACGTTTCCTGCAATAACCACAGGATTTGCTAATATTGGTCTTGGGTTCAATTTATTGACATTTGTTTGGAATTGAGTACGAGTGCAACCCATATAAGAGATGGCCAGATTAGTCCTTCAGGTACTTTGCTACGATAGTTAGATTAATCCCCTTCATGGTGGATATTTGAATGCTACTCCTCTTCCTCCCAATACCACTCACTGATCATGACGTCCATGGCATTGCTATTCAAAAGTTCCAACGTTGAACTTAAGGAGTCCAAATGTAAATGCAGACATAAAAAAATAAAAAAAAAAGATAGCCCAGCAAAAGTAAGTTTGTTAACTGTACATTTTGCCCCTCTACTTTACAATAATTGAACCCACGCAGGACTCGCAGCCTGGAGTCCCATATATTCCACAGACGAGCTTAGACAAGTCAAACGTCTGATGAGGAAGAGATGAATCTAGCCGCCTCCCCATCCCTTTCAAGTAATGTTATTGAACTCCGGATTGGACCTATTGGTTCGGCCCAAAACTCGATAGCCCAGCCATCTACCTAGATTGGAACATGTTAGAATGGTAAGGAAAAAAATTGTAACTTGCGAATACTTTCTAAAATTATGCATTTATTTATATTTTATATATTGCAAATTATATTTAAATTATATTACAATCGATCTAACTAACGGATCCATTGGCTTGATCAAATAATTGTTTATATTAGGTTTAATAATATTACTAAGTATATATAGAAAGCTACATTGCTTGGCGTGAAGACATTCTGATTTAGTTCGTCTCTGACAGTCACTGCCATCTCACTGTCTTCCCCTGCCCAACTGTCTCTCCTACCTTGTTCTGTGCATTTGATTTTTCCTTTTTCTTTGGCTTGCATTGCTCATGTCGATCGAGTCTGTTCTGTACCTTTTCATTTTATTTCTCCTTAGTTTATTTTTGAGCACTGAAATTATCTCTAGATTTTTCCTTGGAAATCAGCACATTGTTACAAATATGAATCATGGGAGATTTCACATTAGTTAATTTAATTTTGAAATAGCTAACAATTTTTCTCTTTACTACTGAAATTTTATAACTTTTTCTCTCTAATCTCAAATTAAAGATTGAAAAAAAAAAGATTTTAAATAAAAAAAAACTCTTGAAAAACTAAAAGAAATAAAAATGGGTTAAGTGCAAAGTTAGAGTATCAAAGTTAACATTTTGAGTAAATTTTGAAATGGTCATCAAGTTTCTTTATGTTTTACAGTTTGGTTCTTTATCTTTAATTTTTTTTCATTTAATTGGCCTTCAAAATTTGGGCATTGAAGGATCCAATCATGAAAAACCGTTTGAGTGTCAAAATATCAATAAAAAAAAGCTTGAGGATCAAAATATCAAAAAAGAAAAAGAAAAAGAAAAGTCCAAAAATGTAAGAGGATAAACAAATTATTTGTTTCTTTTGTAATGTAATGTAATTATAATATAACTAGTCGACTAATCTCATATAGAACAACTCAGTGGGATCAAAATTGTCCAAAACTACGTTAAGAAATGTGAAGCTTGACGACTTTCTCTGTCACCACTTCCTCCGTCTTTCTATAATATTGGGATCGAGGATTAAAAATGAAATAGAAATGAAATAAGTGGATTGAAGTGTTAAAATATCATGAATTGTCTCAAATATATATAGTTGAAGGAGAGAATTGCATCGTTTCTAAATTTAAATGGTTAGGATTGTCATAACCCAATTTTAGTCTTTGGTTTTTAATTTAATTTTTATAGGGTTTAAAATGAAAAGTTAAAAAATCAGAGATTTATTTTGATGAAAAATATGATTTGTCAACTTTCATGAAAATTAAGGACTATAGTGTGCTTTTTTTCATTTTATTTTTATCTTCAAGATAATCTTTATCTTCAAGATAATCTTTATCTTTAAGATAATAGTAGTTATCCGCTTTCAAATTTAATTCTTAATTAAATTTAAACTTCAAAGAAGAGAACGAGTTTGATTGAAACTTGGTTTCTCAAACGTGAAGGGACTCTAGTACTATAAATACAGATCTCAAGGGGGAAGAAAAAAAAAAGATGAACCTGAAAATAGAGAATTAATCCATAAAAATAGAGCAAAAGAAAAAAAAAAAGGGATGGCGATTAGAGAGAAACCCTAAAAGAAAAAACCTTAAGAGGAGGTCATCACCAGAAACCTTAAAAGAGAGAAACATAAAAAAAAGGGGGTGGCGAACCCTATACTAGCTGCCGCCCCCCTCAATCCTTTTTCTTTCCAGTCTCCCTCGACTTTGCCTTCAACAGCCACATGCTTAGGCAAGTTTCCTTCTTTTCTTGCTAAAATAATTAACTGGTCTGTGTTTGCTAGGGGTATGCTTTGAAAAAGAGGGCAGAGAAAAGGAGGACTAGAGGGACACCAAGAGAAAAACAGAGGAAGAGAAAATAGCATCAGCAGGCCGACTCTCCACTGTCATTATCATCTTCAATTGCAGCACCAGGTAAGTTACTATTTTTCTCCTTGCAGTTTAATTACATGCTTCCTGTAGCAGACGTGCGTGAGCAATTCACGCACGCCTATTAGTAAAAATTAAAAAAACAATGATCAACTGAGTCAAGCTTGTGACCCTGCTAGACCTGTTGGCTCCAACCCAGCTCTATGAGTTGAGCTGAGCCCAACAAAAAATATAAAAATATAAAATATAAAAATATGTATGCATGAATAAAAATAATATAAATTTATTGATTTATTTACTAATGCTAGAGTCAGGAATAAAAATACCGATTTAAATTTATATTATTTTTATTCGTTTATTTTATTTTATTTAGCTAGAAAAATAAAAAAAATATGTGCACGCGTAAAAAAAAAAATACTTTTATTTATTTATTCACTGACGCCAACCAGGAATAAAAGAAAAAAAAGATGATTTAAATTTATTTATTTTGATACCTACGTAATATTTACAAATGCCAGAGTTGGAAATATCCGTAGTTGAATATTCACTAACACTAGAATTAGGAATATTACATACAAACAATCATAGTATAAACCAATAAAAAAAAATGTTAGCAATTAAGGACAAAGATTAGCAATGCAGCCTGACTTAGGTAGGATGTTTAAGGGGTGATAATATCTTTCCTTTTATATAACCAGTTTCGGATCATAGAATCTTTGTTGACCAGTTAGGATTCCTAGTAATCATAATACTAGATGACGACTCTTTAAATAAATAATATCCTTATTAAAAAATAGAATATTAAAAATTTAATCTTTCCAAAAATTTAATAAATTTTTAAAGCCGCGTATGACAAAAATTATTAAATTCATCCATCCATCCAGTGGCTGCCATTAATCTTGATACTAGCAATGAAGTCATTGCCTTTGGGTTAAACCCGAAGGCATTAATTCAAATCGGCTCCATGCTAACGAAGAGATTAAACTCACAATTTGAAACTTCATGCACTAAACCCTATAGCTTACCTTAGATAATGACCCATTTCGACGTCCCAAGTTTTGAAGTAATATACTATGAAATTACGTAATTTGCACGGGAAAAATAAAATAAAAATGAAGTAATATACTATGAATTTTGTTTTTTGAAATCCCATAGTGTTGGATGATGTAGTTGTTTATAAATATAACATTTTAATATTATCACATTTGATATTTACTTATATATTTGTTTTTCTCAATTTAGATTTTAATTTTAAAAAGGACAACAATTACTAAATTTTATATTTTAGATGCATGACAATATCATATATATATATATATATATATATATATAATTTAGTCTCTTTGTTCATATTCATTCAAGGATTCCATCTGGATTTTATAGTTATTTTAACACAAAAAAACATTGTTTTCCTCCAATTTGTAAAATGTCTGGATGGATTAATTGAAGATTTATGAGGATCCAATTGAGACAAATCTCTTTTAGGACTCAATCAAGAGAAGGATCATAGTTGGGATATTGTTTTGAGGTTAGCCCCCTTTTTCTGTACAACTCTGAACAACAGTTGCATACAAGTTTTCAGTGATAAGAGAGTTGTTCACTGGAAAATAGGGGCAGTCGATTTTGGCTCCCCCAAACTCCTATTTTTCTTTTGCTATTTTACATCTAAAACTCATTCTAAAACCTCAAAAAAAAAAAAAAACCTTAAAAATCATTTTAATTCCCTTGAAAATATAAGAATACAAAATCAAAAAAAAATTATAAATTATCTATCCATTTCTAAATCTGTCTCTTCTCTGACCATATAAGAACTTAGTAATGTAATTAGTCCACTAATCTCATTAAAAACAGTATGATGGGATCAAAGTCGTAGAAAATTATCGCAGAAAATTACAGGTAAAGATTAAAATTGTTTAAAAAAAAAGAAAAAAGATTATAACGTTGACTGAGCAAGTTTTTTAGGGGAGAAAAAGAGGGTGTGAAAACATACTGATGTTCGGATTGGATCTCTTCAATCTTTTTCTGAAGTAAGACTTTTATGTTCACCTGGTTTAATAAATGGTATTTTCATTTCTGTGACCATGGAGAAAAAAATGAATTCAAAATTTTATCAATCAACATCGAGGATC